TTTTTGGTTTTTAAAAACCAAAAAGCTTAAAAAATATCGGGTTAAATATCGGTGGGGTGGCCGATGTCCGATATTCAGTTTTAAGGCCGATACAGGCCGATACCGATAGGGGGCCGATTATATCGTGCATCCCTAGTTTTATTATATTTAGGGGGGGATTTCTTTCATTAATATATTTCTTTATAATTCCTTAATCTGTGTTTACTCACATCTATATAGTTGGCGTTAATGTAGTCGGAGTGAGGGTCTCCGTCCAGCAGCTGCAGTCGGACTCTGGTGTGATCGTCTGTGGGATCAGATAGCACAAAAATACAACAAGCCTAAAGTTACTTTTACCCACAGATCGGAGAAGCTAACTGTGTGGGTGGGGAGCTAGCTACCAGGGAGCAGATTCACATCAACACAGCCACAATCAGTCCTCTATAATCTCAAGATCATTTCTGTTAAACGTGTTAAAACCTGCTGTTAGAAGGTCTGACGTCAGTTGGTTTCAGAGCAGAAACGCTTCGGCTCAGAGTAGATCCACCTGGAAAACCTGTTTTCTTCCACTTCATTCAGTTTTACTGAGATCAACTGATCTCCAACATTAAACAATAAAGATTCAGCAGCAACATTATTTAAACAGAAGTAAACTGCAGCTCCTATTCGCTGTCAAATAAACCACAATAGTAAACCAGATTAAAGCACTTTATCTTATAGTGTGTATAAATATTAAAGTGTCATATTTTCATTGATTGTTGTGAAACGTTTATATTTTCGTCCCCCTTTAAGTTAAGATTTTTCTCCTAAAGGGGATAATTGATGTAAAAGCTTATTGTTTTGAACTAAATAAAAGATTCATTCATCTCATTCAGAGATTATTTAAAGTCATATCGATCAGCCCTAACAAAATATACCACCAAATACATTTATGGGAATTTCCCATGAAAGCAATAAATGTATCATGAAAATAAGCAGACGTAAATCTGAATTCTATTGCTTCAAATATTCAATGTAGCATAACTTATAAAATACACAGATATACAATTAAATGTCTTGTTTAATAAAACAAATAAAGTTAATTATTAATGTAAAAAAATATATATATTTTTAAAAATGGGTGTAATTTCTCTCATTCGTAGAAAGCTGGAGATAGGCACCAGCACCCCTCATGACCTCAGCTGGGATTAAGCGTGACAAATATGGATGGATGGAATTACTTTACTCTTACAAGTACGTAAAGAGTGAAATAATTTTATGTATTTTCAGGGCACTGTTGTTTCTGAAATGTTTGCGAACTTATTAGAGAAGATGTTCTGCCACCTGCAGCAGGTTTAGATTGCAGAAGATCTGCACTGAACACAACTTTGTTTAATTCTTTTAAACATGGAAAAAAATGGGACTGAAATAAAAACCTTTCCACCTAACCAGATGCTGGAAGTCAATTTAGGCTCAAAAAGTACTAAACAGTATCAGGAGAGATGTGTGATATATATAACCTTATTTTATCTATACCAAACAATTTTTTATTTTTATTTTTTGTAAAGGCATAGAATGTGACTTTAAGACTTTAAGATCATTTTGAGGCATATTTCAGTACACACATAAATTAACTAGGAACACACTAAAGACTGGACTGAAAAACAGATTTTTAGACACCACTTTTCACAGCTTAATAAAAAAAAAATTTAGAATATGTGAATCCAAAAAGTAAAATTCAACAGCAGCATAGGTGTGGATATTGCGACGATGACAGAGTATTAGCACCAGGCTAGATATTTAAATAAATAAAGTCGTAGAATTACAAGAATAAAGTCGTAACATTATGAGAATAAAGTTGTAAAATGACAAGATAAAGTCGTAACATTATGAGAATAAAGTCGTAACATTATGAGAATAAAGTTGTAAAATGACAAGATAAAGTCGTAACATTATGAGAATAAAGTCGTAACATTATGAGAATAAAGT